TAAAAAATTAAAAATTATACTTGGCCAGTTGATCGGTCGAATATTTAGCCGAAAGTCCTTCAGACCACTACAACAAAAACATACTTTAGTGGCACTACACTAGTGGCATATTTTTAGAAAATACCACAAAAAATGATATTTAGTGGCACGTTTTTTAAAAATGCCACAAAACAACAAACATAAAAGGCTCTAGTGACATTTCAATGAACAAGTGTCACAAAATTATAACAAAAACATACTTTAGTGGCACTACACTAGTGGCATATTTTTAGAAAATGTCACAAAAATGATATTTAGTGGCACGTTTTTTAAAAATGTCACAAAACGATAAACATAAAATGCTCTAGTGACATTTCAATGAACAAGTGTCACAACACTACAACAAAAACATATTTTAGTGACACCATATTAGTGGTATGTTCTTAAAAAATGTCACAAAAAGAATATTTTTTGGCATTTTTTAGAAAAATGTCATAGAGCCACAAACATATAAGGCTCTAGTGGCATTTTAATTAAAAAAAGTGTCACTTCACTACAACAAAAATGTCACTACAACAAATTTACACTTTAGTGACACTACACTAATAGTATGTTTTTAGAAAATGCCACAAAAATAAAAATTGGCATTAAATGTTTTAAAAAAATGCCACAGAACCACAAAACATATAAGGCTCTAGTGGCATTTCAATAAAGAAATGTCACATCAATTTTATGACATTTTATAAAATAATGACACAAAAAATTATGTTCGTGACATTTACCAACAGATGTCACTAAACTTTAGTTGCAATGGCATTTTTTAAAAAATGTCATGATACTAGGTAGGTGCAAATTATTTTGTATGGCACTTAGGTGAAAAGTGTCATAAACAAATATTTTATAGCATTTTGAGAAATGCCACTAAGTCAAAAACTTTCCAAGCTTATAATGACATTTTTGAAAAAATAAAAAATGCCAATATATTTTCTAAATTTTTAAAATGCAGTCAATGATTAAAAATAAATGAATTAAACTCAATATATACTACAGGAAAAAAACATATTCGGCGACTAAATTTCCTGACCAAAAAAATTTGGTCGTTGAAAGTATAGTTTTCAGCGACCAAAACAACATTAGTTGCCAAAAATAAAATTTTTTGGCGACTAAACAATTTTAGTATCTAAAAATCTACAATTGGCGACTAAAACTAAGTTTGGTCGCTGATTTTATAGGTTTTAGTGATTAAAAAATTTTTAGTAGTCCAAAATAAAACTTTTTGGCGACTAAAAAAATTTAGTAGCAAAAGTCTACAATTGGCGATTAAAAATAAGTTTGGTCGCTGATTATATGGGTTTTACCGACTAAAAAAATTATAGTAGCCAAAAGTAAAGCTTTTCGGTGCCAAAAAAAATTTTAATAGCCAAAAATCTACAATTGGCGACTAAAAAATTAGTTTAGTCGCCAAAAGTCGTCATTTTTAGCCCGGGAGAACTAAAATCCTAAGGCGGGAATAAAAAATTTTTGTGACCAAAATTTTGGTAGCTGAAAGTGCATCTTCGGCGACCAAATCCGATTTTGGTCGACAAAAGTTAAGTTTTTTAGCAACTAAAAAATAATTAGTAGCCAAAAGTATAGAATTGGCGACTAAAAAATATTTTTAATCACCAAAAGTGGTCTTTTTTTTTATTTTGGTAGTAAATAGTTTATTTTACATAAATTATGTTCAATAAAATAATTATGTTTATACATATACTTTTATATTAATATGGATGTATGTACTATATAAATAATATATGTTGCATATATAATCATGTGGTGCTATAGAGGTGTAGTGGTAAGAGTGTGGTATATAAGGTTTATGGTGCGGAAGGTTGGCGGTTCGAGCCTCCGCAAGAGCGGATCAAATTATTCTACAACGAATTATCGTCATGAATGGCACTTGATAGCGTCACGAATAGTGCCTACCATGACATTAAAGTGTCACTGAAAGGTTTTAGTTTTGATGGTGTGATGACACTTACAAGTGTCACTAACTCTTTTTTAATGGCGCTTGATAGTGCCACAAATAATATCTACCATGATATTAAAATGTCATTGAAAGTTTTCAGCCATGATGGTGCAGTGACACTTGCAAGTATCTACCGTGGCACCGATAGAAGTGACACTTATTCAAAATGCCACAAGACCAAAAAATGTCATTAGAAGAATAGTTTTGTGGCACTTTCAAATATCACTAAATTAAGAAAATGTTGTAGTGGACAATCAATCACTGTGTTTGGTTTAAGTTTTCTGGATTATGTTTTTTAAAAACTGAGTTTTTTAATTTTCGTGTTTTTTTGTTTTTAGTGAATATTTTTAAAATTTTAAACATTTTTTTCACTTTTTTAGATGCACCTTACTTAGATGTGTCTAAAAAGTAAAAAAATTGTGAAAAAATATTTTAGAAAATTAAGAAATACAAAAAAATATAAAAAATGTACTAAATTCTTGTATTTTTTTTGTAATTTTGGTATTTAGTGAATTTTTAAAAGATTTTTTTATAATTTTTTTACTTTTTAGGTGTATTTATGTTAGGTGTATTTAAAAAGTAAAAAAATTGCATAAAATATTTAAAAAATTTAGTAAAAACAAAAAAACACGAAAAATAAGAATGTAAAATTTTTTAAAAATTATTTTTAAAAAATGAAAACCAAGCAAAGTGAATAACATCCTAAACAGAGCGGACTATATTTTAATATCATCTCCTCCCTACCTTGTAATCCGCCTGCCAAAAACCTTTTATAATCCCTCCAAACCTCATAAACAAAACAAATATAATTTATCTTCACTATTCATCATTAGAAGTGCACTCCGAACTCCTACAATGAAAAACAAACGGGCGCTAGGGCACTATTCTCTAACCCATACAATACCACAAGCAAGCGGCAGGGGTACACATTTTGATACGTAAAGTAATAAAATATTGTCCTGCAAAAAACGTAAGGTCATAAACTTTATTACACTGTTAGATATACTTTATCCAAATTTTCTGAGAAATAAAAGAGAAAATGCCAGGCCTACCAAGTTTAGGGCCCAATTTAGTGCCACTGTTTCTGTCGAACAGTCACCGTCTTTGTTTGCTCCGGTCATGTCATTTTTTTCATTATTTTTATGTGATCCAAACAGCCACCAACAGGTCTAGTCTACATATAAAGGCAGTCTCTATTCCGAATAAGGATCCTCTAGAGTTTTTTTATTTTTAAAGTTTTTTAAAGTGGTGTATTGTGTGGTTGAGATTTAATGACAAGTCACATCAATTTTTCAGCATTAAATCTCAACTACACAATACACCACTTTAGGAAACTTTAAAAAAAAAAAACACTTTAGAGAATCCTTGGTACTCTATTCCAAACTTTTCATCTATAAAATTTTAGCAATTTATCTTCTTTTTCATTTTTCTTCTCCATATGTGAGTCTTAAGTTTGTGAGAGTACAAAACAAAATTTTGGTTCATTGTCCATTATGTGATTGTGCACTTTTTGATTATGACAACGTTATGAAACTCAGATAAGTGGGTAAATCAAAAAAGTAACCAGATTAAAAATTACTGATTGAATTGTCGGTAAATCGAAATCAATTATAATTACTTAATACATAATTTTAAATAAAAAAGTACGAATCAAAATAGATTCATTCAAAATATTTTGTATATTTTAATATCTATGTAATTTATATAAATATGTTTACCAAAATACATCCACTATCTATATTTAAGCCATGTTGGTCTAGTGGAAATGCACGGCTTCCTTATGCGTGAGGTGTTGTGTAAGATTTCTCTTTGCAGCTTTTTTTAACACTCTAGATCAAATTCGTTGAAGCTTAACAAGTTCGGCCGGTTCACTCCACTTGGCTTCGGTTCACTCCACCTGGTTTCGGTTTAATTGTGGTTCCACTGCTTTATTTAAATAAATTAGTTTTTCAATTGAAACGGATTTAATGGTATATTCGGATCAAAATCTGGACCAGTTGTCGGCAATGCCGGTCCGATTTTAAAAATATTGATTTGTAGTGGTGGTTGTTTCATGGGAATAAAATATCTGGCATTCATAAATATTAAGATAATAATAAAATTTTGTTTTAAGGACATAATATTCGTATACTAATTTCAATTACATAATTGTTAGTATTGTAAAGTTTTATTTATTTATGTGGATTTGTTTATTTATTTTATTACATTAAATTATTTTTACCGAAATATATTCCAACATAAAGTGTTACTATCTGGTTTAAAATATATCATACATCGGAGTTTATGTGTCCCAGACTTTTATGGATGAAGAAAAATTCTTGTGGAGTTTAAGCAATAACACTTCTGACAAAGGACTGACTGTCTGTGTCTGCCACTTTCACCCCATTTGGGGGGGCTGAAACCCAAAATTGAATTACTAATGTTGTATTCCTTGGGGAGTTGGGTATGGACCTACAGGCTCAACAGCACAAAGGACAGCAGAATTAGAATTACCAATGCTTGGGCATTTCGGCCCATGAAGCCCAAGCGGAAATTCAGTACCCACGCCAGGTGTCCCTGATAATAGGAGTTGTTATTTATATATCTCGACTCAAGCCCATCAAAATTCAAAACGATTTTCAGGTGACTGCGCGTGAGAGAGACAGAGAGAGGAGCGAGGAATAAGGAAATATTAGGACAAATTACTTATACCTCTATTGAGATTTAGTTAAATTACAGATATTCTTGAAATTTAAAAAATTACAAATATTCTCTTGAAATTTATATTTTTATAATAAATTGTTCTCTGAAATTTATATTTTCATAATAAATTACTTTCTAATTTATTATACAAATTTAACTTTTAAAAAATATTTATAATTTCTCAAATCTCAAGAGATATTTGTAATTTAACTAAATCTCGAGAGATATATGTAATTTGCCTTAAATACTAAGTATCTAATTCAGATTGAATAAATAAATAAATAAATCATAAATGAAATGAAGTAGCCGTTACAATAAAAAAGAAAACCCACAACCACAACACAAAAAACAAAAGAAAGATTGATAAGAAAGAAACCATCTCAGAACACACACTCTCTCTTTCTTTCCTTCTTTCTACACTATTGTGAAGAATCAGAGGACTGTTCCTGCAAACCCTAACAAGAACAGAGAGTCTTTGATCATCGAAGCATTTTCTGGTAATTGTGGAAAGGGGCTTCATTTCTTCGACATTGGAGCCTTTGGGGACCTACATCGTGCTCTCTCTCTCTCTCTCTCTATTCAAGTGTCAGTAATTTCCTTATTGTTTCTTAGTTTTCATTTTCGTATCTCAGGTGATTTTTGTCCGGAGATGTATATCAAGAACGATGATTAGTAGGTTATTTATCAATTCTGTTTCGAATCTATTCAATTAATTATTTGTTCTAATCATGTGTGATGATGACATGTATAGTTGCCCAGGTCTAAAGGGGTCAGATTTTCTTGATTTTCTTTTTCCTAACTTTCAATTGAATTCTATACAACGATAAAGAAATGCAAGGATGATGTGACATACACTAGTTAGTTATTGTATGTTTAGGTCTTCTGTTGACACAATTTTTTAACACTGTTGGATTAATAAAATAGAGGCATTAATTTCTACACAGATTTCCATCATATATATATATATGTATTTAATAAAAGAAATTGGGTTAAAAGAAAAGAGTATATAATATCGGAAGAATATGCAGATCACTAGAGTTTTTCTTGTATGATATGGAATTTATGAATTTTACAATGCCTAGACCAAAAACTACCTACTGATTTTGACCCGATACCACTTAAAATGTGGATTCTTCTGTCTTGTCTCCTGCCATCCTTGTCTACACCACAGTTTAATGTTGCAATTATGTTTGGACAGTTAGTTTGATGCGCTTAAAAGTGTTTTTATTCTGCACAGTAAGATTGAGATCGGTAAGAGATGGTTGCGGGGACACCGCGCACACCAGCATCAAAAATCAGGAGGACCAATGCATGTACTCCAGGTGGTCCAAAGGTTCGGGAGGAAAATATACTTGTTACTGTTCGAGTCAGGCCACTGAGCCCAAGAGAGCAGGCAGTTTATGATCTTATTGCTTGGGATTGCTCAGATGAACATACAATTGTTTCCAAGAATCTAAATCATGAGCGGTCTACAGGGCCATTCACGTTTGGTACGTCTGCTAGATGAGACTTTGAGGATTGATTGTAGGCATTGTAGTTCAGGAAATCATGTACCATTACGTGTTCCATTTTCTGGAACAAATTGGTTTTCTTATATTTGTATTTATATGTTTATGTGTGCCAGATAGAGTTTTTGATCCATCGTGCTCAACTCAGAAGGTTTACGTAGAAGGTGCCAGGGATGTTGCTCTATCTGCTGTAAATGGAATTAATGGTAAATATAAAATTAAGTATAATTAATTCTTTATTCTGCTTTGCTATGCAGTGAGTGGATTTAGAAGTGATCTGATTTTTATCTTGTAGCTACAATTTTTGCGTATGGGCAGACTAGCAGTGGTAAGACATTTACCATGAGAGGAATAACTGAAAATGCTCTCAGAGACATCTATGATCACATCAAGAGCGTAAGTTATATTCCATTCCAAAGTTTGTTACAATTTGTTTGGTATCTGGCACATAGCATCACTAGATGTGATGCAGCAATTTGATTTTGACACGAGTTGAATTTTGATACTTTACGATGGTTTGATTTTGGCATGTCTTGAAGACACCAGAGAGAGACTTTGTTTTAAGGCTTTCGGCTTTGGAAATCTACAATGAAACTGTAGTTGACCTCTTAAATCGTGAATCTGGCCCCCTTCGGCTTTTGGATGATCCTGAGGTAAATGCAGTAGACTTTCTATGAAAATAAAATTTTAGATTGCTATGGACATCACCATATTAAATTATTCTTTTGGACTGCAGAAAGGGACTATTGTGGAGAAGCTAAGTGAAGAGGCTGTTAATGATTGTCAACATTTAAGGCACTTAATTGGTATTTGTGAAGGTAATGATGTATTTGAATTCATGTACAATATGCATGGAGAATTTCTTATCAATTTCCTTACCAAATTAACTAGAATTTGTATACAACATAAATCTTTTACTGCATTATTCCCAATGATTCTCCCTCTTGTATCTTGTAATACCTCTGCAGCTCAAAGACAAGTTGGCGAAACTGCTCTAAATGATAACAGCTCAAGATCACATCAGATAATCAGGCTGGTAAGCATAATCGGTTAATTTATGAGTTTTGTCAATAGTGCATTGCATGCTTCATATTCTTGATTGAGTTTTTAAAGTTGGACCCAAATAGGATAGATTTATAAGTAATGAATTAGAAGAAAGAGAAAAAAATTTATGGCATACAAATGAATCAACTATGTAAGAGACTTGCCTAGTATTGGATATCTAAGCAATGTTCTCCAAGTGTCTGAAGCGTGTCCAAATTTAGAAAAAATTTAAAAAGTAGGACATGTTTGAACGTGTGTCCGACAAATGTTGAGAAGTGTCAGACAAATCTAATGTCACATGCCACCTTCTTAGAAGTGTCTGTCTGTGCTTCTTAGAGTAAGTGCTGTCTTCTTATTCTGGTAGTGCTTATTTTTGTGCAAGTACCTATGTTGACTATAGACTTTGAGTTTACATAAAGGGTTATTTTACACAATTCGAAAGGTCTTCTTTTACAATTTGGTCATCTTTGTATTATATCCAAATTAATAACAGTTGAGCATTAGTTCACAAGCCTGCTAGCTTAATTTCTGAAATGAATCTTCCGTGCATTAGACTTGAAGATCTCTTTTCCAATTTTTTCATCCTTCACCTCAATGATCCACGATTTCAATATAACTACTGTCTCTACACATCAGTCTTCTTACATTTAGGTACTTTTGCTCTCTTAAACTTAATTGCATACACAGTAGTATGTGCCTTTAGCCATCATGTAAATTGTGTCTGCTCCTTTGTGTCACTTTCCAGACTTACTTTGCATACACAATAGTATGTGCCTTTAGCCATCATGTAAAGTTTTGATTCACTATTTAACTGTTTTCTTTTTTTGTTTTAGTCTATACAGAGTAGCCTGCGGGAAAACTCAGGCCGTGTAAAATCTTTTTTAGCAAGCCTGGTATGTTGATCTGCTTTCACCTTGCTCCAGAAATTAGTTTGTAAATTATAATTTAGTTATGTTAATTGGAATTCCCGATTTTTGCAGAATCTTGTGGACCTTGCGGGCAGTGAACGTGCCTCTCAAACAAACGCAGATGGAACTAGGCTGAAGGAAGGGAGCCACATTAACCGCAGCTTATTGACTTTGACAACCGTGATCAGAAAGTTAAGGTAGCATTTGCAGAGTAAAAAAAAAAAATATATGCACAAATTAACTTCTTTAAGTGGTCTGAAGTTTCATAAATTGTCGTTTCTTCCATGGACTCTAGTTGATAATGTGAGCTTTTACGGTGTCATTGGAACTATTTCTCTTGATAGCATCTAATACAATTGGAAAATGTAATTACACACGATGTTTTACTTTTTCTTATTGGTTTTTCTACTTCCAGTGGTGGAAAGAGGAACAGTCACATACCTTACAGAGATTCAAAACTCACGAGAATATTGCAGCCTTCACTTGGAGGAAATGCTCGAACAGCAATAATATGTACTATGAGTCCTGCCTTAAGCCATGTGGATCAATCACGGAATACTCTCTCATTTGCTACTAGTGCAAAGGAAGTCACAAACAGCGCCCAAGTAAACATGGTACGTAAAGGAACATAGCTTGATCTGATGAATAATCTTTGACAACACTATCTTTATGGTTGTTACGTAACTAATTGTTCTTAAAGCTTAAGGTGTCAGGGAATAATGCAAATGGGGACCAAATACAGAGGGAGAGACACAAGACCTCCCCCCTACCTAAGCTCTGATCCCATGTTAAGTCACCAATTGTCCCAAAAGATTTAAGTTTTTACGAAATGAGCTTAACAATGTATATTAAGCTATTCAACAGTTATCAACAGCTAACAAATGTCTGCCAATTATAGCAGTTACATAGCAGATTGAACAATCAATATGTCCAAGCCATTTTATTGCACACCAGTCTTGTGATCAAAAGGCACATTGCATTCAGAAATTTAGTTGCCTGCAGAAGCCATTTTTCCTTGAAGTTAAATTAAATAGAAACTGCATAATACATGGACATGCATATATATACATAGATATGTTGATGCAATCTTATATGATGTGCAGTTGGGAATTTTACTGTGTGGCTAAAGTTTACATGTCAACATGCTGCTGTCCTGATTTTTCAAATATTATACTCCCTTAGTCCTCGACTAATAAGTCAATGATAAAGCAATGCTTCTAAGTTGCAAAACAATTTATATTTTCAGGTTGTTGCAGACAAGCAATTGGTGAAGCATTTGCAGAAGGAAGTTGCCAGACTTGAAGCAGAGCTCCGAAGTCCCGAGCCCTCTTCCTCTTCATGTTTAAGGACTTTACTGATGGAAAAGGACTTGAAAATCCAGCAGGTATGCATGTTTCAAGGGTAATGAAGCGTTGACTTGTACTAAAGTAGATAATTTGTATCAAATGGATTTCCTAGGAGAGGTGTAAATATTCTTTACCTACAAGAAAGAAAGTATTTAATACTTATTTTACTGTATTAACATTTTGTACAACTTTTTTAAACAGTTATACATTGCTAGTCACTATTTAAGTCTCTCTATATGTGAGTGTTATGTTTTATGTCACCATTATGTTCGGAGATAACAATTGCATATCATTCAGAGAGAACATTTTGTGTCAGTAGATCATTTAGTAGAGTATGATTTTTGTATAGCTTTTTGGGAAAACGGCATCTATTTTACTTCTCATTTTCAAGGGAAAAAGTTCAAAATAACACAATGGAGTAGGGGTTTGCACAGTTTGATGGAATAGATTTCTTCAATCACAATAAATTTTAATTGTAATAAATTTCTTTATATGCAGATGGAGAAGGAGGTGAAAGAGCTGAAGCATCAACTTGAACTTGAAAAAAGTGCAAAGAAGGAGCCAAAGGTATATGAAAGTACATCATTTTTTTTTTTTTGTATTTACAAGGCTAGCCTTCAACTCTACTTTTTACTTTGTTAATGGATTGCGAGAAGCAGAGCTTTGACTGTATATAAAATTACATAATTTTTTGTATTTACAATGCTAGTCTTCGACTCTTTTTATTTTGCTAATGGATTGTGAGCAGTAGAGCTTGGACTGTATTAATTGGACATGTTTCAGGGGTTAAACCAAGAGGTCCAAGACGGACATTCTCGTCAAGTATCCAAGTGTCTTTTTCCTAAAGTTGAGAATGGAAGTAGAACTATTACAGGCACTCTAAAAAGAAAGGCACTTGGAAGGCAGGCAGCGGTGAGGCAGTCTGCTACTTCTACAGATTCCTCCATGCTCGTCCATGAAATCCGAAAGCTTGAGATGCTGCAGAGGCAGCTCGGTGACGAAGCTACTCGAGCACTTGAAGTACTTCAAAAGGAGTTTGCATCTCATAGGCTGGGTAGTCAAGATGCATCTGAAACAGTAGCAAAGCTACTGTCGGAGATAAAAGATATGCGAGCAATTACTTCTATTCCTGAAGAAATTGAGGTCAGAGATAACCCCAGCTTGAAGGAAGAGATAACTCGGTTGAGGTTGAACACTCAAGGAAGCAATATTGCTTCGTTAGAGGAGAAGCTTGAGAATGTGCAGAAGTCTATAGACAAGCTGGTCATGTATTTGCCGAGTAGTTTGGAGACTCCAGACTCCAAGAACCAATTGAAGAAGAAAAAAAACATTCCATTCACCTTGAGCAATACAGTCAACATGCCAAATTTAATACGGTCTCCGTGCTCTCCTTTATCATCCACTCGCCAGTTCATGGAATGTGAAATTGAGAACCGGGCCCCAGAGAATAAATCTACTCCACCGAAGAGAGATGAGAACAGTAATTGTATCTCATCAAAGGACAGTACTCCTGCACCACGGCAATCCAACACAGTCAATGTGAAGAAAATCCAAAAAATGTTCAAGACAGCTGCTGAGGAGAACATTCGGAACATCAAAGCTTATGTCACTGAGCTGAAAGAACGGGTGGCAAAGCTACAATACCAGAAACAGCTTCTGGTTTGCCAGGTTAAAATTTGCTGTTTCATGCAGTTTCCATGCATCTTTTTGAAAGTTTGGAAATACAGATCTTCACAGTTCAACTTCAATTTTCATAATTATGACAGTTATAACAGGTTTCTTGATGGTACAAAATTTATTTGGCATAAAATTTTGGTTTTAAAAATTGTGGTGGTTTGCAACCTCTTATCTCCCCCCCTAAATAGAAACTGCATAATACATGGACATGCAGTCTGATAACAGCTGACTAATGCGGATTTCCTATGCATTTTGTCATCAGGAAGGTATATTTTTCGTGCCACACAAAAATGTTTTGCATAGAATTATATGACTTACAAGAACTTGAATATATGTGCGTCATCAAAAAAGTTATCTTGCAACTTGCAAGACATGATTCTTGAACTTAGGCCTTGACTTTGAATGATCTAGTATGTAACTTTTGCCTTACGCACATGGATGATCAAAGTTACTCATTTTGATTATTGCCTCTTACTTATGTTGGAAATGATACATAAATTAGTGAATTTGGTGAAATTTGAAGGATTTTAGTATGCACAGAAGGGAGCAAGCTTGTGTGTTACAGAGTAGATAATTTTGCGCTGTGCAAAGCGACAAAATCTGTTAGTTTTATTCTTTACTGATGTTAGAAGTGCAAGAGGGATTTTTAAACTCAACCACTTTATTTTTTCCATTTTCAAATAAATACATGGACCATGATTTTTATTATGTGATGTTGATAGCATCAGACGTATACTATATTGTAATTCTATTTTTGAGCGTGGTGCTTTTGCCTTCACCTTGATATGTGTTATATATTCCATAAATCAGGTGTTAGAGCTAGAGTCAAATGAGGCTACAAATGATGAGACAGATATAGTTGATCAATCTCCCATGGCATGGCCTTTGATGTTTGAGGATCAGAGACAGCAAATCATCATGTTGTGGCATTTGTGCCATGTTTCAATTGTACACCGTACACAGTTTTATTTGTTATTTAGAGGAGACCCCGCTGATCAGATATACATGGAAGTTGAGCTTAGAAGGTTGACATGGTTGGAGCAACACTTAGCAGAACTTGGCAATGCAAGCCCAGCACTCTTGGGTGATGAACCTGCTGGTTCTGTTTCATCAAGGTATTTCAGTGTCTTTAATATGTATCTTTCTCATTTCTTACCCATATTGGTGTGTATGTGTGTGTGTTGTTCATATTTGATTGAAGTTCATTGCTGCTTGGTTTTGAACATAGTATCAGGGCACTCAAGCAGGAAAGAGAATATCTAGCAAAGAGAGTGAGTTCAAAATTAACAGCAGAAGAAAGGGAGATGCTTTACATGAAATGGGATATCGAACCAGAAGGAAAACAAAGGAGGAGGCTGCAACTGGTGAACAAGTTGTGGACAGACCCTCTTAACAAGCAACATGTACAAGAAAGTGCTGAAATTGTAGCAAAGCTTGTTGGATTTTGTGAATCTGGTGAACATGCTTCTAAGGAAATGTTTCAACTTCATTTTGAATCTCCTTCTGACAAAAAGACATGGATGGGGTGGAATTTGATATCAAATCTGTTGCATCTGTAAGAAACACTCGTGTTGTAATTCATTTTATTCATTGACCTTTATATATATGGACTTCTGCATTGGAGCAAAATGATGTTTGCCAATGCTACTAACACGAGAATTTCACAGAATAGGATGAAGATGTGAAACAAAGGTAGGTCTCACGTATGATGGATCTCCCTTATGTCTCACATCTGTATCTCGTGATGCTAAAACTCTATGTATGCTTCACTTTCTTACTTTGGTTACTAGTTTGTTATGTAAGGCCCGTTTGGTAGAGTTGTGAAAAAGTGATTATAACTTACAACCTAATAGCTTATAGCTTATAGCTGTGAACATAAGTTGATTTTTTACTTATAAATTAAGCTTCTCCTTCCCCACTTAAAGAATAAATTGATTTTTGACTTACAAAAAGTTATAAACTGTATTGTTAAGCTGAATCAAACACATCAAAATAGCTTAAATTAAATTAAAAGCTTAAATAAGCTGGAAATAAGTCCTACCAAATAGGGCCGTAATTGGAGTAGCGAAATTTTGTGAATGCCAAGTTCTGACTGACTCAGCACCAACTCACTTGAAAAGTCTTTGCCTAACTTCTTAAAGGCATAGCAGCAAACATGCACAAGTTAAGAGGGTAATGATCATATAAAGCAGAGTACAGAATTTTATTCATAAATGATGTAGTTGAATTGCGGCTTTTCACTTTAAGACAAAACATCCATTAAGATTACTATTAATTTCAAAACTTTCATTATCGCACGAACAGCTTTTGAACTTTTCTTATATTAGAATTTTCCCAAGGCAAAGTAAGTGGCGGAGAAGGGGAGGGGGCTAGTTATGGTGGGATGAACTAGTTAGTGGTTATAAAACGAGATTGGGCTAGGTTGAGGAAAATAGTGATGAAGTTCTGAACTAACAAGAATCAATTCTCCAAAATGGGTGCCTTGTCCACATGTCCAATACATCACGTGGCATGTCAATATTTTTTAATTATTATCTTTTTAAAGGATAGGTTAGGATCATTTCATGAAAACGCATGTCTTATATTTACCTTTGTATTTTTTTATTAGTTTTGCAATTTTATATGTATAGACATACAAATCGCGTACTTGATGATAAAGATTCAATAAAAACGATGATCAGAACCGTCATATGATCGCCATGTATAAGATAAAACACTCGCAGCCATTGAACTGCCGGAAGTCATTCATCACCCTTCACTTATAACCATTATGAACTTGCAACACCATCCACAAATATCACTTTTACACAATCTCTCCAAATTTGCTCCAAACCCCACCTCAACCCACTACCCAGCCACAACCACCACAACTTTCCTATTTCACATCACCACCACCACAACTATATCCTTCTACTGTACCAAGCTATTGCATCACCTATTAGAACTCTTCTATTTAATCCAACTATGGCATCTTTTTATTCTCTCTTGCAACCACTACCATTAAATCTCATCATGGCCCTAAAATCACATATCTCTCCTCAGTTGCTAGTACATCTTGACAACCTTGAAGTAATCTTTTATCATTATTTTCAAATGATTTGTCAAATCTAATATAAAGGTTCGGGTTCGGGGGACAATTTCTTTAACTTTAGCATATGTGTTGAAGTTGCATAAAGGAATTTGATGAAGAAAGAATTATTGGCCCTCCACACAAGGTTGCTGTGAGTTAGGTGTTAAAAGCATTACTTTCGTTTCTTTAACTTGTTCACAAACACATATTGCCTCATTAAAAAATATCTTAGACTCGCAATGGGGTGACCCCTACCACCCCTACTATTTTTTGGTTGGTCCATAATTTTTTTTTTCCCACTTGCTGCACCCCACCCACTGGGGGTCCCCAGCACGATTGTTGCCTCATTTGAACGATTGAATTTTTTTTCTCAAATTTTATATACGTCACTGATTGATTGATTAACTGACCCTGTTTTCATATTTTACTATTTTGTCTCTTTATTTTATTATTCTTTTCTTAATTCTTTATTTTTGAATGAAGGAATTATTAAGATTAAGAAAGCTCGATCTAAGGGGATTTGAAAGTTTTTCTATCTTGATTTTAGAGAGAGAAAAATAAAAGTTAAGACTTTTTTGAATCCTTCTCATCTTTTGGACTTTCGATTTTCATTAATCTCAGTTTATAATTTAATTTGGCATTTTAAAAATGTGTATTATGTAACTAACGAAGGGGGCGATTGTTACATGATTCAAAAGTTGAGGGTGGGATGTAATTTTATGAACCAAAAGGGAGTGAAATGTATTTGAGAGAAACCTTATTTGTAATCTAAGAAATAATGGCACAACGGTCTTTTCAATTACCATCCCCTCCACGCTGCGTTACCCTAAGCCAGCCCCAAAAACCAACCCTAAGAATTCCAACTAAAACTAAAAACTGATCAGGAATCTCTCTCTCTCTCTCTCTCTCTCTCTCTGTGAATCTTACAATTACAGTCTCTCTGTGTCTCCATTGACAAGGGTTTTCTATATATACAAACGCTTAGCTATACATACATACATATATATATATATATAGATATACAATGGGAAGAGAGAGAGAGGTGGCTCAAAAGCAGCAGCAGTCGGCGACGTCGTTCACGGTGGAGCAGCTCGTGGCCGTCAATCCCTACAATCCTGACATCCTTCCCGATCTCGAAAACTACGTCAACGAGCAGGTTCTCTTGCACCTTTTCTTTTTTTTTTTTGCTTTGGTATATGTATCGACTGATTTTGTTTTTGTTGATAAAGTTAGATTTGTATGGTTCCATCAACTGATTTTAAAGGGCAGAGATACAGTGTAAACTTACATATATATATATATATATATATTTCAGGTTCTCATTGGGGGTGATTAAATGTTCTCCAAAAAGGCTTATTAAAAGTTCTGGTGCCATATGCCCAAAAATCGTTCTTTTCTGTTCTTTTTTTTTGTAAACGATAGGATAATCGTGGGTTAATAACAACAAAAGCCGTAGTGGCTCGGGTGGGTTGCCCCCCCCGGGGGGGGGGGGGGGTGGGAAAAAAATTTTTTTGGGGGGCAACACGAGGACTTCCCAGGGGGTCACCCATCCTAGTACAACTCTCGCCCTAGCACGCTTGGGGGGGAATTGTAAAAACTATGTATATTTTGAATCCTGGATCCGTCAATGGATGGCTCCGTCGACTTGAACCTGAACCTCTCTCTGTGTCCCAGTGGACAGCTACATAGACCACTGATCTACTGCCCTGTCCCCCCTCAAAAAAAAAGTTTCTTTGAACTAACTTTATTTTGTGATATCTGATACTGAATAATGTGTGGACAGATGGTGGTTGAAAACAATTTGTGGCTGGTTGTATCCATGACCCAAATTAAGTGTCAAAATCAGTGGAATTTGGGTGGGCAATGTTGTTATAAGTAGATGTGAATGTAACTTATAATTCTATAATAAATTGTAGCGTGAAACTCCTTGTCATGGTTTATCTGTGATTGTAAATTCCTGGAAAATTGCTTTGCACATTATGACATCCAAATAGCTGGAACAAACTTAGTTCTTTTTGTTTAAAGAATGTATGCCCATTAGAATGCGATGATATACAATTATTTACTTGCTATTCTTGTCGTGTTTTTCATTTTGATTGTGAATATGTTGCCTATATAATTGTGTTTTTTTTTTTTTTTTTTTTTGTGTGCTCTAAATATGTGCATATTCATTTTTATTTTGTTTATTCAATACAATAACAGAATAGTTTGTCACAACCAGGTTTCATCACAAACATACAGTCTGGATGCAAATCTTTGCCTCCTTCGTCTCTATCAGGTAAATTTGTGCCTTTCTTTTTGACATGAATGGACTTACACAAATTCCTACAGGAACAGGATTTTTTAGTCATTGAGTAGGTTACCAATTGTTTCAATTGCACTAAACTATTAAACCTTTTTTTGTTGACATTATGTTTTTAATTGCAGTTTGAACCAGAGCGAATGAGTACCCAAATTGTTGCCCGCATTTTGGTCAAGGTCCAATCAATTCTTTTTGTGAAATTTATGAAATATATTTCCGGTTCATTGGTCCATAATGTGTTTATTTTTTATTTTTTTGATAAGTACTGGTGCATATTGTGTTAATGTATTGTATTCCCTTGTGTTATAAGCAGGCTCTTATGGCAATGCCTGCCCCAGATTTCAGCCTGTGCCTCTTTTTAATCCCCGAACGAGTGGTATTGAACTTTATTTCCTATCAGCTCCCTCTTCATAGCATGCATAATTTTTGCATGTTAATTGTAATGTACTGTATCTCATTAAATCATGCTGCAACAAAACAAGTATTATGAAGGACGGCCTTTTTTTCCCCCCATCAAAAGCAAACAAATGAAAAATAAATAAATAATAATTTAAATGGTGATTGTGTTGTGAACCTTGAAGTAATATAGTGGATTAAGCAGAGTAATTGAACACGCCTGCCTGTATGGGTGCAGAGGGCAAGAGAAACCGTGATTTTAACAACTTAAACTAATTTTGGTGCATTGTTGTTGACTTTAGATTTACTAAAATGGCATTACTTCAATTTCTCACCTTGTAGTAAGCAATGGAGCTATAAGCTACTACATTTTATTAGGTTGCTTTCCACATGATTGTCATGACCTAATTATAGATTTTGTCATGGTCCAACTTCAAATTGCAAGTGAGAAAATTTGGAAGACATGATGTGATATCTTCTTTATTCCATTTCTCTTGTACTCATCTCCATTTTCTCAATTTCTTTTCCCCTTTTCTTTCTAAACTTTGGACTCTTTGGTGATTACAATGGCATCAAAAAAGGTAGTACAGACAGCGACAGCCCCAACAACAATTTTCTCATTGTTTATCTGCTCAATTTTCTCTTGTACCTTGGGCACTGATCTAATGAATTCCAAGAGCACATAGTATCACTCTGGTATCTCTAGCATTACTGATTTTCTCGATGATCAATCCTTTTTTCTCTTTCTCTTAGAGAATTTTAGAATGGCTTTGATGCATCTCCTTAGGCTGCTTTTACCTTGCCTTCTATTATATTTGTAAAGGGTGAATGAGGGGCGTGTGCACTAGTTTTGACCTTAGAGAATTTTAGAAAGGCTTTGATGCATCTCCTTAAGCTGCTTTTACCTTGCTTTCTATTATATTAGTAAAGGGTGAATGAGGGGCATGTGCACTAGTTTTGACCTTCGGGTTTAACGATCAGACGGGAAGTGAGGCTTCAGCACAAGTAATTTTATGTCTTGGTTGAATCAGAGTGAGTTATTTAATGTTAACTTTAGTGGCATTTTGACATAACAGTTGTTTGACCGCTTTTAATTGACAATGCTTGATATTTTCCTTAAAAATTTCACCATCGCATAGTTCACAATGAACAAAAGAATGAGATGTTCCAACCGTTTTAAAGTTCCAGAATGTTTCTTGATATCTAGAAATTAAGTAGATTGTAGAATTTTACTTAAATCATCTATGTGGTTTTTAGAAGTCAAACATCACTTGAGCATGGTTTTTTTTTTCCGCTCTATTTTGACTTCTTTTTTCCTTGTCAATTATCATCAATTATCAGCAAATGGAGGAACAGTTCAAGACACTAATTGTTCTTTCACACTATTTGGAGGTATGCTTTTGCCTTGTTTTGACTCATACACATGTACATGAAAATGGATTACCATTTGTATAACATATTTTCACATGCAGACTGCAAGATTTCGTCAGTTCTGGGACGAAGCAGCTAAAAGTCGTCACCTTGTCGAAGTTGTGCCTGGTAATACTGAACTAGAACAATTGGATTGTTGTTGCTGTGTTGCATGTTTCTTAGCTAAGTAATGTATTATGCAAATAATGTTAGCTTTTTTATCATTTCAACTGGAATAATACATGCCCAATTTTATTTTAGGAATATGTTAAATCCACTATCATATTTTCTATAGCCTCACCTCACATGGTTGGGTCTAGTAATATGAGAGCGAGGATTGTGGATATAGCCATTATACATTTGGATTTAACATTTCTGTCAATTTTATTTAATTTTTTACTCTTATGGTTCTTGAGACTCTTCAAGCTCTATTGTTTGGGAAAATTTGGGCTCCGTTTGGTGGAGCTTTGGAAATATAGTTCCACACTCACTTTTGAGTGTAATGTTTGTTTAGCGTTTTCAAAAATTAACTCCACTCTCACTTTTGAAAACTCTTTCCAAGGCTGGAAAATTTAGGCTAACCGGTTATCCCACCGGACGTCCTACTGGTCGTCCGGCCGATTGACCGAAACAATGTTTGGTTTTTTTCTTTTTTTTCTTTTGCACCTGCTATTTTTATATTACAAAAAAAAAATATTTGTGAAATTTTTTTAAAATTTTTTGTGAGCGGTGTTGAATAGAATTTTGGGTTGTGTGTTTGATTATGAGTTGTAAGTTATCATATGTCACATCACTCAATTCAAACTCAATTTAAAACTATTTTCAAAATTCATAACCAAACAAATTTTCCACACTCAAATCATAATTTCAAAACTCACATACTCAAAATACAATTTTATTCTCAAATTATAATTCTAAAACTCTACCAAATACTACTTTGGTTTTTACTCAAAAAATACAAAAATGAGACTCAATGTCGGGGTTTTATGTTTTCAAAGCCATTTAATCTTTAAATATACAAAAAGATGCACTATTTTTTTTTTTTAAACAAAAAGCTATGCGAAATGATGACATATTTACTCTTAAGAGAATGCCTTTTGACATTATGGAATTAACTTTTCTTTGTTTATCATGATAATCAATTTGGACAATTTAAGAGCACAATTCCTCCAAATATGATATTTTAGTGTTCCTCTTTTTCAAATAGACCCCCAAATATGATATTTTTGGGGCCTAGAGCTTTGAATTTGTATTCATCTTCTTGAGATTAGGGCCTGGGGGCTTGTTATGGAGGGGTTTGGTTGCCGTTGTTGGTGGGTGATGAAATGGAGAAGAGAAGAGATGTGAAGAGGGGAGGACAGAATAAGTAGTGAGAGAGGAGGTTGGATGCAGAGAGGTTGAAGAAAGAGAAAAAAAGAGTTCCTTGCGGCTAAAGGGGGCGGGGACAGGGACTTGTTATGGAGAGTTTTGGTGTTGGACATAGTGACGGCTGAAATAGGAGAGGCAATGAGAGAAATTGTAGAGAGAGAAGAGGTTTGATCAATGGGAGTTGTTTTGGGGGATGAGGAGGTATGGTTGTGCTAGAAGAAAGGATGAAACGAGGCCTGGTGGATACTTTTGTTGTGCGCCACAAAGGGGATGGAGGAAGAAGCTGAGAGCAAACTGTTTTAACAGTTGCTTGCACTCCTTTGGCAGTTGTAGCCCTGGGGAGGAGAAGGGGATGGGGAGGATAGAGTAGGAGGTTTTTAGGGAAGGCAACAAACAAAAGGGGGAACTATGTTGATTCGGGAAACTTGGTAGGTAAGGAGATGGTGGTTCAACAAGTGGGTAATTCTCAAGAGGTCAGTTTGTCTTTAAGCTTGGAAGGACCTGACGTGTCAGTAGGTCATGAAGAGAGTAATTGGTTTGATCAAATTTTTGGGAATATCATGCAAAGGATGCTATAAAGCTGATTGCAACAATTAAGCGATAAAGAAACCAAGGAGTGATGTCAATTCTATTATGGGGAGTGGGGAGGATCAAAGTGAGAGGTGGACAGGAGTTAAAGGATTTGATCGGTACCATTAATTACATAGGGTAGAATAAAAGGTGCTGGAGTGGAGGGAGTTAAGAGGGGTTTGTTGATGGTTTTCCATGATCTTTTTTGCCCTGCTTGGAGGTTTGAGCTCTTGTTGAGGCTTGTTTGTGAGGCTTTTGCCTTTCTTGCTTTTGTAATCTGGTTGTGTTACCTTGGCAGCTTTTTTTTTTTTTTTATATTATTTTTATTTTAAATTTAGCTATTAAAAAAAAGGCTTATTGGTCTTTTTCAAAAAAACTGGTAATTAGGAAACTTTTTAGGTGTCATTTCTGGATAGTATTCATTTAGTGCTGGCGCAGGATGTATGTCAGATATAGTTTCTGAAGTTGGCACCATTGCATTAGAGTTCTTCATTACGTCATGATGTTTCTACCTTCAACAGTGTTCACAAGCCCTAGTTTATGTTGTTACTTAAATCAGAGTGTGGTTTCTTCGTTGTTGCTTTCTTTTCGCTGCTTTTACTTTTTTATCTCCTTGTTTCCTCTTTTTATGTGAGCATGTGGTCTTATGAATATGAAAAATGTAGGTTTTGAGCAAGCAGTCCAAGCCTATGCAATTCATGTCCTTTCGCTGACTTACCAAAAGGTTCCAAGGTCTATTCTTGCTGAGGTATGCTTTGATTTTGTGCCCATTTACATTTAATACTTTCTGTTTAGTTTTTTTTTGTGGGGGCACCAAAGTGGCTGTAGAACCCCACTTGTATTATCGAGGAATACTAAGAGTGATGGTCTCCTTGTCTAGCAATTGGTTTGAAACATGTAGCTTTTGAAGAATAAAATAATGTATAGTAGTGTGATATTGACTCTTTTTGGGGATGTGTTAGCATGATATGGATCATTATTGGGGTGTGATGTAGTTTTGTATTATAGCAATTACACATTGTTTCATTGTTGTATTTTACTGCTATAGTTTATATCCATCCAATTTAAACCATGCCAAATTGGCCAATTTAGCTCCATCCCTTGTGCATGTTGGCCATCAAGGACAAATCTTTTTGTTTCGCCATCTTGGGTTTGTGTGAAATATTTTATCATACTACTTTCATAATTATCCTTCCCGATAAAACTTCTAATGGGCATGGTCATATACAGGCTATCAATATTGAAGGGCTTTCCCTGGACAAATTCCTGGAGCATCAGGTAGTGAACTGCGGTTGGATACTCGAGAAGGGTCAAGGCAGGGGCCAACTCATTGTCCTACCACGCAATGAGTTCAACCATCCGGAGTTGAAGAAGAACGGTGCAGATAGCATTCCATTGGAGCACATTACCCGTATCTTTCCCATCCTTGGCTGAACTATAACTATCTGTTCAGAGAGGGCTTTTGAACTTCTTTTTTAGTTCTCCTTTACTTTTGAAGTGTTGGTTGGATTGGGTTATTAGTATTTATTGGGCTGAGTTGCAGCACCTCCCCTTCATCCGCAGGCACTAAGATGTTGAATTTTGGCGACTCTTCAGCTTTTATTTTATACTCAAGTAACTTATTAGTTCAGTGCCTTGAAAAAGTGTTGGAAATGGTTAATAAACTGTTTCATGGATTATGATTTTAATTTTGATTTTGCGTATAAGTAGTGGAATGCTTTAAGGTAATTATGATTTTGGTTGTGATTTACGTCTCCTTTTAAGGTCGTATTGAGAAATTGACCCCCCAAAAAAAAGAAAAAAATTTATGTTTTGCAACAAAATTTTTAAAAATGTTGCTAATAAATGCTCTCAGTGAAGTAATTTAAAAATTTTGATACCAAAAATAGTTATTTATTAATGTTCAATGAAGTAACTTTTGGCCCTTGGAAGGTTGTCCTTGAATTTGTCTAATTTGTTATAATGTGATATGCATGTCTATGATTGGCTTACGCAATTCAAAATTTACTAATGAAAAATTATTTAAGTCTGCAGATTTTGACAATATTTGCCGCAGTTGATAACAGAAATTTTAAGAAACATATTTAGGAATTGTATAAGTTTTGTATTTTTATGTAGTTAAACTATACAAAATACCAATCTCTAATTTAAGTGTACCAAATTCTCACATTCAAGCTTTCATTTGACTTCATACCAGCGCGTGACAATAAATCAAATTAAATTAAAACCAAAAACTTAGGAAATCAAAGTAAATTAGAACTAAAACTTATGTCTTACTCCAGTGAAATCCATTACATGAATTCTTTTCTTTTCTTTTCTTTTCTTCAATGACAAACATATAATAATTTTTTATAATTCAATTAAGGGATCCACAAGAGACCCACCTCAGATAAGAAGCCAACAGCCAATAGGGCTGAATATCTGCAAAATTTTCTCTCTTTTTCTTTCTTCAGATTACCTATTTCATCGGTTACATTACAGACAACAGAAGAACTCAGCCCAATAACAATAAACATCATTAGCCCTGTGGTAGTCGGTCTATGAGAATATGATACAAACTTCATTGCGAGTTAAAAGTGTCCAAACAAAACACATGAATGGTGTTTAAAGAATCAACAATAACCTAAAACGGTAAACAGAGGAGTACCCCCATGAGTATTTATATATATATATATATATTTACAACACCAAAAACTACCAAGTGCATAAACTTCCCAAATACAAAGGAAAAAATAACAGCTCCTAAAAGAATCTTAAAACTGTTGGCTATTTACTCTTTTCTTATCAGTTTCTGACCAATGTTCATGCTATTGAATCAATGCTGCAAGTCATACACGAGAGGAAAATTGTTCTCATACGAAACTTATCCAGCTACAGTACCACCGGCTTCTTTTCCTTTCTTTCGACTACTGTCCCCATGCTTCTATGCATTCACTCCTCCACAAAAGGGCATGCATTGGACAGGTCGGGGCTGAGCAAGAAGAAATATAAGAACTGCATGCAGGGGAAAACAAGCTAAGACTCAAATGCAGAGTGTCTCTCCGTAGGTCACCCAGCGCACAAAACTAGCAGAAAATTCTTGGAGACCTTCGAAATTCTGGGCATCATCATAGGATAGCTCTGTTCCTGTTTGCTCCCTTTCCTACCAATATAACAGGAAAATAGAGATCCATATAAGCATTGAGGATAAAAACAAAAGCAAAAACTAACTACATTCTCCAACCAAAATTCTCTTTAGATCATGTTAAAACAAAAGCTAATCTTGTAGAAGCAGCTATTCATAAAATCGATGAATGTAAATATCCTTGTCTTATGAAGCATAGACACAGACACAGACACAGACACACTGACATGTAAATTTTCAAAACATATAAGACAACACGTGATGGGCGCACACAAAATATAAAATTTTGTATATTTGTCATGGCATATAAAGATAAGCAATCACTATATGTCATATATATGAATATTTAGTTCAAATGGGGTAAATTACACTTACCTCCCCTGAAGTTTACCTTAATTACAGATACCTCCCCTACAGTTTCAAAAATTACACAATCCTCCCTTACTTTTAAAAATAATAGTCAGATCCCCCCCCTCCTTTCTATTAACTTTGTTCCAAACGGTGTAAAAAATAACATTAAATGACTAAAATACCCCCATTCCATCTTTCTCTCTCTACCAACCTAACTACTCTAACATTGCCTCATCTAACCCACCAAATCTCACATAAAGATAAATTAGTGACCTACTATTTGAGGTTATTGTCAGTTTCTATCTCCAAGTGAGTTTACACTTAAATTTAAGGAATTATTATAGATTCATAAAAAAGTTTATGTTCTTAATTATTAATATTATAAAATTTACCATTTTTTTATAATTATTTTTCAAAACCATTCTTGAAATAAAAAAATTTCAAAATTTAAAGTTACCATAACTAAACTTTTATATCCCACCGTGCAAGGCTATTGAAAAAAAAAAAAAAAAAAACCTCACAGGATTAGGAATGAATTCAACATAACTAAACTTTTAAATCCTAACTTGTTTGGTTTCACTTTCAGGATTCACTTGCAGAAAATTTAAAAAAAAAAATTTGTATTTTTTTTTTATTTTCAATAAATTTTTTATATTTTAAGTAATTTTTTTTTAATTTTTAAGCACGCCTAACATAAATACACTTAAAAAATATAATATTTGTGAAAAAAATCTTTTACTTTTTAGATATATCTAAGAAAGGTGCATCTAAAAAATTTATTAAAAAAAAAAATACTTAAAATTTTAAAAATATTCATTAAAAACAAAAAAATACGAAAAATAAAAAGCTCAATTTCCAAAAAATTGAATCTAGAAAATTGAAACCAAACATATCGGATTTTTTATTTTTATTTCTCTTTTTGTTTCCTATTTGAATTCTTATTTTTATTTCTCTTTTTGGTTTTTATTTTTTATTTTTTTATTATTTAAAGGTCAATGTATTATACTATCATAACCAACATTTCCAGTACAAAGCAATTCAAAACATATATACACACTATATAGGGAAAGTGAATCATAACACTTTTTGTTTGGTTTAATTTTCATAATCAATTTTTTTTTTTAAATTATGAAAAATATAATAATTAATTTGGTGTAAAAAATTAAAATTAAAAAAAAATGCTCATCATTTTCACATGATTTTTTTCTTTTTTTGGTGCAAACTTAATTTTTAAATAACCAACATTCCTGGTACAAGATAGTTCAAATCATATATACATATATAAAAAATTAACTTGGTGTAAAAAAATATTCATCATTATCAATTTGTTTGGAGGGAAAGTATACACGTACTGAAAAATTGGAAGGATATTTTGCGCATTTATATGTTTATTGTTGTTGATGTCACTTTGTTTGGTTACTTTCGTAACATGGTTCTAATAGAAGGGGGAATCTGACTATTATTTTAAAAAGTAAGGGAAGTCTGTGTAATTTTTGAAACCATAGGAAAGGTATCTGTAATTAAAGTAAACCGCAGGGGAGGTAAGTGTAATTTACCCGTCCAAATATAATAATTTTTAAAGTCTAAAGCAAGAGAACAAGTATAAATTTACGTTATTTTTATTTTATTATTGAATTATAAGTTAATTTATTCAAACTAGTAATGTGTTTCATGTGTCTAAGCGATAGAAACATGTGTTCAAGTGTTTGAAGCATTTCTGACTCTAGAAATTTTTTTAAAATAGTAGGGCATGTTGTCCGACAAGGGTCGTGTCGGTGTCTAACACAAGAAGCCATCTTCTTCGAAGTGTCGGTGTTCCTTAGTTCTAGTCCACCCTCAGCAATGCACTAAAGACACCAAATGATTGATTCTACGATGAACAATCTTTAACACAATTTTTGTGAATAATCAAAACATGAAAATAAAAACAATCTAAGGCATTATGTGGGGCATGTTGCAAAATGGCTGGCAAGGAATGGCTTTCATTTTTCAGAGTTTCGTGCAATTTATGCATATCTAATATTATAACTGAATGATCACATAATAATTGTGTATACTTGACTGGCACGATAAAAGAAGGCACTAACCTTCATGCTGGATCCATTTTCGCTGGTAGATGGAGTCATGTCTCCCATTATCCCGTTAATGACATTCTCCGATGACACTCCCGCAATTGGAGAACTAATGAGCATTGAGCTACAACATAAGAAATGGGGGGTTGACGAATTTTCTCCTATAACAATTCATAATGTACAATGAAAATAAACAATACAGTTCAAGATAATCAATAAGCGTAACCATGGAAATTTTCAGGGCAACTTCATGGTAGGACAAATTTTAAGCAAAGATTAGTCAAGAATTATTAGCATAATTTATGATCGAGTACAGTAACCATGTTTGTTATCTAGAAAACAATTTCAGATTTTTAAATGATATTTTAAAATTAAAAAAACTGTCTGGAAATGTCATAGTTAACACACTTAGACAGATGTTTCAAAAAGAATAGAGGGACATGGCTAGAATATCCTCAAGGTAGAAACCAATGGAAGGAAGAGACTTATTACTAATATCATCAAAATGCTTACAGTTGACAGCAATATTATGGCATTTCCATTCAACATTGAAAGATAAAAATAAGAAATAATGACACAAATAGTGTAACATACATCAAGTCTAAACACATATATAGCTACAGTGCACAAAATAAATGAATAACAACGAACAATAAAACAAACTTTTGATTTTTTTCATTAAAAAGAAAAAAGAAAAAGACCGGAGAACATGCAAGGATAACAAACTGATAGTTACTTGTTAACAAAATCAACACAATCTTGTTATCAGAAGTTTAAAAGTTTTCTGTAAGCTTCAATTGTAGTAGTGACGTGATTTCATGAGAATAGTAAAATGATATAGGACCAACAACTCTTTCTTTCACATTTTGATATAGAACTTTTCCCACTTAGGTGAAGTTTACAACTGTGTATAAATTAAAAATAGGTAACTTCACTAACAAGATTTTGCCCTATCAGCAATTAACTAATAATTACCTCTCATATAACTCTTCATCACAAGAATTACCAGAGGAAGATAACAAGTCTAGATCAACAAAGTTTGAGCTTGTATCCCCTTGATCATTGTCAAGGAATCTGTCTCTTTGCATATCTGCAAAAAGCTGCCTACGAGGTACCGAGGAAGGATACCTACATAAAACCAATTGATTGCCAAAAAGCTTTATATCAGAATCATAACAAAGATCATGTTTCTATCACAAACCCAAATCTAGATGCATAGCAATCTCAAATTACACATCTATACATATGGATATAAGCAAAAGTAGGTCAATTGGGTTAACTGAGTCTGATAATGAAGAAAATACCATATAAAAGAAAAAAGGGGGGAAATTAAAGAAAGCAAAATGTAGTTACAGTGTGGTTATTTGATGGCCATCATCACATGACAGGCATTGTAGGTGTCACGCTATCTCCAACTCAGATTAAAGAACTTCCAAGTGGCACCTTGTAGGCACCACATCATCTCTTACAAAACTAGCCTAAGCAATGATTGCCAGTAAGCTTCATCACATATTGAACTTCTAGAACCATATTAAAGATCATATTTCTATCACAAAACCCAAATCTAGATCCATATCAATATCAATATCAATATCAATATCAATATCCATATTACACTTCTATATTTATGGATGTAAGTGAAAGTAAGCCAATTGGGTTAACTGATAATGAAGCAAATACCATAAAAAGGAAAAACGAATAAAAAATAAAGGAAGCAAATTTAGTAATAGTATGGTTATTTGATAGCCATCACGTGACAGGGACAGTAGGCACCACACTACTTCCAACTTCGGTTAAAGAACCTCCAAGTGGCACCTTGTAGGCATCACATCATCTTTCAAATAGACCATTATTGCTATGAACCTAGCCTAAGCAGAAGCACTTGAACCACCAAGTATGGTGGCCTAGCTAGCTAATGTGCACAACAATTTGGCTCGGCTAGAGCACCACTCGACCAGCTAAGGCATGGTATTAGAGAACAACCCAAAGCACTAGGGCATCCAAGGCAAGGCCTAGAGCACCACTTGGCCAACCCTACTCGGTAGCTATATGGCTTGGCACCCCTTAGCTGGTGTCACAGGACATCTCTTTGGTGTGTCAGTACTTTGTCCCATGCAGCACTTGAACTCCACTAAGTCCAAGCCCGCCTTTTTTTTTTCCTTCAAACCATCTAAGTGTTAAAGAATGTACCTGTCTTAGTCTTCAGTAAGCCCTCAAGCTGTCAGTGAGAACAACCCCACAAAGAGTTTTGTATTTCTGAATGCCACAAGAATACTCCACGTCTCAAGTGCACCAAGCATGCCTTCACTGCACCAAGCTTACCACAAGCAAGGGCTTGCCCAATTGAGGTTCATTTTGTCGAGGCACCAAGCAACGCAACCCAGCACAACCATTCCTATTGAAAATGTTACCCACAACCGAACAACTCATGCAAGTCATAGCAGCCCATATTAGATCCTCAAGTGCCACAACCACACAAGCCCCCAACTGTGTTAGCAAAGTCCTCTGACGAAGCTGATAGCTATAATAGAACATACCTCTTTGTTGAGCACCTCATACAACCACAAAGTCATACGTGCCACCATACAAGACTGAGGATCACTCTCGCGCTCACGACCCACATGCATGCACATGAGCTAAAGTCCACCAAGAAAAATTGTGTGCCCATAGTGTTGCACTAGTGTGCCTCCTCCTGAGCAAGGTCATCCCACCGACCAAGCACAAAGTGCCCAGAGCATCATGTCTTCATGCGTCATTTGATTGCCCACAAGTTCGGCGTTGCCTCTGTGCCGCATGCCTTAAGCCACGAGATCCATGCTTGTGAGATTGAACCCAAACCATGCATGAGAGTTGGCACACAAGGCTCGATAGCTCAAAAAACCTTACAACACACCTCAAGAGGTTAGAAAGTAAGGAATAGTGGGTGCATGCACCATACCACCATCGCGTGTAGAGCACACAATGTCAACACTCATGCCCCTTGATGCCACCATCTATGGGGCTCACTATCCCATATAGAAACCTTAGACACCTCTTGTTGATGCCCAAAGCCCACCCTCAAGTAGTCCTGAGGTTGCCCATTCGGCCACATTTTGGTCGAGGTAGGCTGATAGCTAGCTCACCAATCCTCCTTCATATAGCATTCTAAGCCATCTTCAACCTAGCAAGAAGAAACATACCCCATGGACGAGGAGGCATAATGAATTTTCAAACATTCCATGCAGCTTGAAAATACCTAACTTAAGAACGAGAATCCTCATCCCTACGGCTATCTCTAATAAAAATCCCAAGCCTTAAACAAAATGCCAAAAGTTGTTGCCCCTAGGCCCAGGCACTAGGTTACACTGAGCTTGCCATGCTTGTGCTCCCCTAGCGCTAGGCTATCACGTGCGTGCTTACTAGGCTTGTCGATCAAGCCGAGCTTAGTTTGGCTGTGCATGGGCTTGGACGCTTCCCTTCAAGGCCAAAGTCACAGTTGGCCAAGGGATCCTCCGTCAAACCATGATCCCCTATGCCTTGTTCCCTTTCTCCAATTAATTATCTACTTCAATCACATTTATGATCGCTTAGGCTGGGGGAAGAGCCTAGGGACTCATCCATCCAAGTATGTGACTTGGAGGCTAGAGTTAGAGGATCATCATGGTTGCATAGTTTGCCTCCCTCAGGGCAACCACACCTTGACCAAATTTAAAGAGATGAGACGGGTTTTGACAAAGAAACGTGATATCATTATCATACCCAACACTAGAGTCTCTCGTAAATACAATGCTCACGTATCATATACCTCGGTAATTTCCTTGATAAGTTGATGCAGACTCTAATCCTAGATGCAGATGCAATTGGGATACCTTCATCCTATCAAACCAAGGAGGATCAACCATATGTTTAAGGGTGATTTCGCCTCCATGGTCCAACTAGCCTATATAAGGAGGCCCTCATGCATGTGTAAGCATCACCAACCATCTTCCTTATCTCTAGCAAGCATTAGCAGCATCCAAAGTCATCCTCTCTCTTTTAAGCAGCTTTAGCTCTTTCCACTTCCTCTGGTACTATCCCACCATCTTAGTGCCCACCATCTATGAGAAGATTCCACTAGGACACTTCACCACCAACCATCCACAAATAGAACATTATACCAATCATATACCCAAACAAATCAATTTAAGTGATTTGAAATTTTTTGGTGCACTATTGTTTATGGTACCCAACAATTATCATGCAATGCATGACCAAAATGCATACAAGTTAAAAAGAAAAGGGTAAATTACATTGACCTCCCCAAAAGTTTGGAGAAAATGCAATAAGTTCCATAGTTTTGGCATAATTACACTAACCACCCTGTTAGTAAGGCTACAGGGACCAGAACTTTGTGCGAAGACAGATAAATAAGGTAAAATATACATATTTCAGTATAAAAGAAATGAAAACATCATTTTTCTATCCATATGACTAACAAATTACTAATGAAAAGGGAACTACGTGTTATTACAATTAAAACCTTGAGGGAGCTAAATGTAATTATGTCAAACTTGTAGGGCTCACTGTATTTTTCCAAATCTCTGGGTATGTCATTGTAATTTACCCAAAAGGAGAACTATTCTTACAAAAAAGAAGTCTTCGTATTTTACGATACAATCCACTATGTCCATTCATGATGGCACAAAAAAACAATGATAATAGCAAAGGCTAAAAGAGAATGAGAGTAAACCCTCTTAAACCTAAGGTGCTTGAAGGAAAAGATGGAGGCATCTAGTTGTTCGTCTATACGGATGCAAGAAATCAACGAAGTCATCAATATTGCAGCAAATGTTGACAGTACAAAGAACTGCAAACAACTACATTAATATTAGCATGGTAAGAAACACAATCCAAAAAGACAGCAAGTGAGAGAAGATAATGACAGTGAACATCTAAGATATTTCATACAAATCTGATGTCTATGAAAAATGGTTCCACATAGGTCCCTGAAAAATCAACCACTAATCATACCCATCATTAACAATCATGACACAACAAAACAACTTAAGTACTTCTCATGCAACAGTCAATTGGGTTCCTAAAAAAGTATGTCATATCGCAGCAGAGAGAGAAGGATTCAACCCACTCAATCACATATATAAAACCAATTCAATTTCATATTCTCCACAATTTTAGTTGAAGTTTATGTAATGTTCTAAAGAATGAAAATTTAATTAACAATTCAAGAACGATGTTGAAATGGTACAGTCAGTCATTGATAAAAAATGGAACCGAAACACACTCAATAAATGAAATACAGTAGGTAGGAATGAGACAGAGATATACAACTTGAGCATGTACCTCAAATGAAACAGTAGAGATAGAGGGGGGCAAGCAGACCTTGAAATTGTCAGCTCGCTTTCACAAGCAGATATTTCTGGACTTGATTCACACAAACCTTTGCTTCCTCCTCCTGATTGATCATCTAACAAGGCAGAGTTAGACAGGTCCTGCTTGATTTTCGTGTTGGACATGGGTGAGCGGCTTTCACGAAGAATATTTCCATCAGATAAGGATCTTTTGAAAAATGACCTGGAAATACGGCACAATAGTTAACGATACAATAATTTTCTGGCTCTTCTAAAGCAAGCAGTATCATCAAACAATAATTCCATCAAATAGATCAAATATTGCTCAACTCCACGATAGATCATCATTAAGAATGAACTTGGGGAAAGCTACAAGTAGTGAACAACCCATTGTCTTATCTCATATTTACAGATTGCAAATGTTAGTAGGTTGTTGAATATCTTCCCAATATACTTTAAGATCATAACACATTCAAAATTTGGAAGTCTGAAGGACACTTGGGAATAATTCTTTAGATTAATACTCTTTCCACCATAATCAAGCAAGGGGTAACGCAGAGAGCTCTGTGATGGTTTTCTATAAAAAGTGACATTCTTACTTGCCCCCCCCAAAAAAAAAGGCTTATTTATAACATTTAACAACTTGTTTAGAAGCTGAGTACCTTCCATTGTCAACCAATTTTGTTATCCCATTTCTCCCTGCATTGTAATGCTGGTCAGAATCTAGCTCCCAGAGTTCAGGTTTACCCTCTTGTGGCTGGAAATACCCCAAGAATCTGCTCAAAAAAAGTCAAAACAATAGTTACTTACAAAAGGTGCATATATTTACTCCAACAACTTAATGGGGAATTACTTGAATGTGGAATAGAGAAAAAAATTTAACAAAACAATGGGGCTGCAACTCATTTTGTCGTGTTTTGTTTTCTCTGTTCCACTGTCAAATAATTCCCCATAATTAATATGTAAATAAAGTGCAGGTGAACTTCCTAGGGAGAATAGATGAATTATAGAATGAAAATGCATGTCCAACTTGTAGAGCTAAGAAAATCTAGCCAACTCTCGAATAACGAGAAAAAAAAAATCCTGTTTTAGCCAACCCCCGCCCTAGTGAATATGTAGAGCTCAGTAATATTGCTACCACAACTGACTTACACATTAATCGCATTTTGTTTCTCTGCATCCATGTAGGCATTGCTATAGTACCGTTGAAGCGTTCTAAAGAATTCCTGCGATTGAGTTGCAGCTTTCCATTGACCCCTTCGCTCAGAGAATATCTAAACAGAATCAAATATTCAAGATGTCAAACAGACAGACAATCAGGAAAAACAACTGCCAGACCAACAACATGAACAAAAATACGAGTGTCAATTGGCAAGATGCCTTTCCAGGTATAGGGTCCTAAGAGATTTCTATACTTCACCTTTAAAATTTGTAAATTATATCATTTAGTGAACTTAAATTATAAAGACAAAGTTGAAACTTTAGCCCAAACTTCTACATCTCTGTGTCATTTCCATTCTGCCTTCCCCGTTATTCTCAATTATGCTTAAGATTCAATGCTTTTATATGCTAAAGGAGCACAAACCTTGGAAACCAAGACACCAGTGGCTTAAGTGGTTCCAAAAATAGGAAAGTTTTAGCATCCACTGCTTTGAATGGAACCTCATATTCCATTGGAGATTAATGAGCTCAATAAGAAGCACAAGCAATAAATATATATATATAACGAAACAAAATCTCAAGTCCTTGCAAAGGCTACACTATAACCAACCCAACCGAACCAAACTACGCCTTGTGTCCCACCCATGTGGGTACATGAATCCTTTTTTGTCATTACGCTTTATCAAACGCTATATGCCTAATAAAATTAAATAAACTTATATATATTTTACTACCGCATCCCATGCTAGATAAGGTCTTCCCCTTCCCCTAACATTTCCATTAATGGTGATCACATCACTCTTTCTTCATTGTACATGGCCATGTGAAGGATACTTTTCTCAACATGAAGAAAACAATCTGCTCCAGAGGTGTAGTTATGATAAGATTGTGACATGAAACATGCAGTGATTTGCAACCTAACAATTCAATTATGAGATCTCATATGAAATACTAACCAAAACGACTAGTAGTTCAATTGGCCGTATATAAACAAATCATTAAATATGTCAACCAGAACAAAAAGTTTCAATCATGAGATGCCCAAAACACTTCAATGGTTCCACCCAATAATGCAAATTGCAAAAGTAGAACTTTACTATTGTAGAACATAAAATGCAAATCTGACTCCCACTTTACAAACAAAACCTTAAAATTTGAGGTAGAATCAGTCTTTTTAGATTAAGTAAATTTAAGCACTAGCAAGCAACATTGCATATTAGAGTCTTAAGTCACCTTGTTGTGGGCAGCTGAGCCACCATATTGGTGCGCAAGTGTATCACCCATTCTCTCATAGAACCCCATTAATTTATCAGCCAGAGGGTCATCAAGGTCTATCTTTACGGTATCTGTGACTCCTAGAGTACAAAGTTGTTTTCCAAGGGAAGCCAGCCCATATGCATACTGTGCAACATTTGTACGATCCAGACAGTCTATGCAATTTGTCCTGAGCACCCCCTTCTGGAACATGGGCGGCTTGACAGAATGATTTCCATTAGCCACATTGTTACCTCCACAAAGTTTCCTCTCTAAATAATCAGCATCCTCACTGTTGCCATTTTCCTCAGTGTCAACGTTGCAATCTCTGGCAAGAGACTGGTCACCAGCATCAACATTCCTGCATCACATATTCATTTTCAACATCAAATAATATGGAATTAATAATACAAAATCATTACAATAAATGCAAATTTTGCACTTATAATTTCTAGGATTAAGTGTGCAAAGCGATCCAGTATCACCAGCAACCACTAACCAGAAGAATAGCTAAGATAGAATTCAGTACCCGGCCAACAAGGTTAGTATTCTAGCACTTCGATTTTTAAAACCAATTTTTGCAGTAGAAAAGCAATTCAACAGGGTTGCAGCACTATACAATGAAACTGCTTCAACTCTTAACTTCTTGTATGAACATTGCCCAGAGAATTAAGCTAATTGCGGACACGAAGGGACCTTACACTATTTATACCAGTATTCTTCCCATCAAAGAATCCATTCATTCAATCAACTTCATTAAATAGATTAATGTATCTTATACATTCATGATACATAATGCATTTTCTATATTAATGAATTCATTAGATAGATTAATGTATCTTACATATTCATAATAGATACATAATGCATCTCTAAGATTCATTCATACTGAATCTATCACATTCAATGCATTGACATTATCTCCATTAGTCTTCTATACATTATGTATATATAGGTGCATTCATCAATAATTAGTCACCATCTAATTGATGTACATGTATCTTACTTAATGAGATGAATCTAGTATAATCATGCATAAGCCACATTAAGCCATGTTTAGGAAAAAATCTTACAATCTCTCATAATGAATCTATCACATTCAATGCGTTGACATTATCTCCATTAGTCTTCTATACATTATGTATATATAGGTGCATTCATCAATAATTAGTCACCATCTAATTGATGTACATGTATCTTACTTAATGAGATGAATCTAGTATAATCATGCATAAGCCACATTAAGCCATGTTTAGGAAAAAATCTTACAATCTCCCACTTGGCTTGCATGATTATAGTACATCACTAGATTATCATAATATGGCCAACGTTCTCCCACTAGAAGATTGCACCATCACCATTAGATTCTATTCAATGAAATTATTAGCACCAAATCATTGTAGTCAGTGATTTACAGATTGATCAAGACTGTACAATGGTTATAGTGTTAATATTTTCCATCAACATGAATACGTGAATCTTAAATCACAGAGATGACATTAGCAACATAATGGTGATTAATGCTAATTCATCTATAACGGTCTCATTGTTTACATCTTCTTCTAAATTGTGCACAAGTATGAAAAATGAAAACAACAAACATAATCATTACTAACAGAAGATGATTATAACATGACATTTATCACGAACATAATACACTCATTTCAAGTTTAAACATAATAAACTTTCTACTAAGCCCCTGCGCGCAACATGTTCTTGAAAGAGCTTAGGTGTGAGACCTTTAGTTAAAGGATCTGCTAACATGAGTGTAGTACCAATATGAGAGAAGGCAACAGTCTGATTCAGAACCCTTTCTTTAACAACTAGATACTTGAAAAAAGTATAAATTCGCTGAGTGGTTTGGGTAGTTCAGTTGGAGGTTGCATATAGGACCATGTTCCACTGCGCTATGAAATGAATAAGTTAATAAGGTTACTGCTTTAGAGGAGAAGGGAGTGGGGTCCTAATGTAAAAACACCAAACCCAAAATGGTGGAACAAGATTATGTTGAAACACCATACCATGGTTTAAAACATGCTCCAGAATGTCTAATTATGTTACCTCAATGATGCTAAAAAGATAGCACAAATGGATAGCTAAGCTAATGCTTATTAATGCAAGCTATCATCATTCACAAGAAGGCGATAATATTAGAAAAGAAATTTACGTGTAAATCCAGAAAATCTTGGGAGGAAGAAAAACTTACTCAATACAAGGCCAATTTACATACCCCTCAGATCTCAAGGCTGGTGTCACTTGACAATAAAAGAACCCTGTTAGTGTCAACGCATATGCAGCCACTTTGCCCAACAGTAGCAGAACATTAGTAGCTTTTCTGGACAAAATGCAACAAATAAAAATCAGGTGTTTATTCCAGCAAGAAAAAAATTATCAAGGAGATACTGGAAAATAAGAAAGATGGGAAAACAGAAGAGCCACAAATAACCATATAATCAAATACCTCCGAGAATGTTTGTGTAAATCCCAATGAAGGAACTTAAGGCGGTTCTCTTCTGATAAATCTTTATTAATAAATTCAATTGCATTAGCAAACTCTGCACGAAGAATGGACTCTCGAGGCTTTTTTTCATGCGTCTGTAGATTGAAAAAGTTAGATTAATTAAAAGGTCTTTTAACTCGAATAAAATTATTGGCCTTTCATTATAATAGGTATCATTAAGCAATCTAAACCGTTTAAAAAAAAAAAAAAAACCCTTAACAAATACTGATGCAAAAGGATTTATATAATCCCTATAACAATTCTAAAACCTTACCTTAATCAAATTTAAAATAATTATAGGGTTTCCATATCTCTTGGCAAGATTTTCAAAATGAAGTCTGGTGGCCTCATAGTTTTGGTCCTTCTTTGACACTGGAAGAGAAAAAAGTCAGTCTAGAAAATATAGGGGAAAACTTTTGTGGCTACAAGTTGCATGCAGAGGCATACATGTAATATCAGGTTTAATATTCAGGCGTGAAGTTTCCTGCGACCAGAAAAGTGGGATTGAGCCACGGTTTTGAACAACAGAAGTAATTTGCAGAGGACACCCTTCAGGAACATCCTCAAACAGAATCTGTTCGGTCTCGACATCATTAGCTACTCTGCCCTTCTCATTAACACCTCGTTTTAAGTACCTACATCAGATGAAAGCAATAGGATGTCAACATCAACATATAAGTAGCGATAAATGGTAAACGGTATTTTCATTTGAAACAAAATTTCACCCCATGTAAATGCAAGGTATACAAATTGACAAAGGAGATTAAAGAGCAAAAAAATTGCATAATAGAGTGCAGAAAGTTAGCAAAACTAGATCCACCACCAAACCAAGATTTGGATCTTATTAAAGCTCTAAGAGCATCTGCAGAAGCATAGCTGCTTTGTCCAAAACACTACAATAGCCAGTCTCAGCCCCAAAGTTATGCTCCACCAGTCTCGTTGGAAGCTGATCAAAATAACATTTTGCTACAGTCCCTAGCCAGGTAAAGAGAGGAACTGTTCACTAGCTTTTCATATTTTTTTTTTAAAATTTTTGTCTCCAACATTTGTTTAATGTTCGGAGTTTTTGATTGGATAAATTACACTAAAATTTTCTTAACTGGTAGTGAATATATTAACTTGCCTGCTATTATGAATTTGAATATTTTGACACTTTCAATTATAAAAATGTATCACTTTTACTTCTCCAAACCATATTTAAAAGGAGGGCATTTGTATGATTTTTATAGTTAAGGACGTCAATGTACGGATTCATAGATGAAGGGAGTAAGATAATATTCACTAATAGTTGAGAAAGTTTTTGTATAATTAATCATTTTGTATTGAGATTTTTTATTTTGCAAATTAATTTAATGTCAAATGGTAGATTCTACATACAACTAATGTGTTTGGTAACTACCTAAATATTATATTTTTGAGTAATAACTATCTGAATATCATTATTAAAAAAATATGACCATTATTAGAAGAAAAAAATATAGTGAGATTTTGGATAGCTAAAATAAAAGCATTACAAAAATGTAGTCATTGAAAAAAATGAAAACATTGTATTATCTGGAAAAAAAACCAAATAGAAGACAGCATATTTTAACAAAGATCACTAAACTAAAGAGCCTTGTTGGAGTGTATGTTGAAAAAGTGAATAGCTAAAATAGAAAAGTAAGATTTTGAATAGCTATTTTAGCTATTATTGCTGGATGCTCCAAGCAACAAGTCCTTTAGTTCATAGAAGCTTTAGTTTGAAAGGCTTTCATCTTTCTTCGACATTCATGAAGAATATGACGAGGAGCCTACTACGAGCTTCTTTGTTGATTTGTTGCTATTATTTATGCCTTTCACCCACCAAAGATGACAAAGACAATAAAAATCTTGGCCTAAAGAAAAAGGGGCAACCCAAAGAGATACAGTAACGGTAGCATATAACGAATGGGAAGTTTAGACTTTAGACAATTTAAAAAAAATCCATCTTACCAATACAAAAGCTTTCAAGATTATCCTCTTCTTGTTTATCAAATGATAAAAAGTTGAAAATTTCAGAGCTATCAACACAGCAAAACACAGACAACGATGCAGCAAGTGAACATACTACGCTAGAAAAGAAATGAACTAGGTCACTTCTAAAGAAGCCACCAACAACCATTGATGAAGTGAGTGAGCACAACAGACCACCAGAAAAGAAATAAACTAAATTGCTTCTATTAAACCACCAATAAATTCTAAAGGAAAAACCCCGTTGGATCCTTTATGAGCATAAATCTCAACATGAATATGCAAGTGCTAGGGTATTCACTGTAAGCAACATGTTACACCTAATTTCAAGCGTTTCAAAAAATGAGTCAGGGATGCCGCATCAGTGTCCAAGGGTGGTGAAAAAATAGAGAAGGGTCCCCACACTTTCTTGGAGGAGCGTGAGTAAAGAAGGTCTAGGACTGTAGGTTAAAATGCAATTTGAAAATATAAGAATATTGACAGGGAAGCCAATGAAATTTAGTAAATACAATAATTTGAACGGAATTTAGTATAGTGTGATTAAAAGAAACTAAATGGGTAGCTAATTTAGTATAGCATTTGATCATACATTTGGTCTTTAGGAAATATAAACACTAGAAGTTCCTACATTGTCCATGTGGTTAGATATATCTTTGAGCAAGTTCCAACCTATGCCAGTAACAAAACACTAGGGGCAATAAAATTTTGAGGAAAAACCACATACACACAGGGCAATGAACTCATGAAGAACAAAAACAAAGAAATCTACTTTTTCAAACAATATGCTTATTGAGTAAGAACAAAGAAAAAAAAAGGCATATATATCCTCTGCAATTATGTATTAATTCTGACCTGGTACCCGCATAATGCCGTGAACGCCTAGCAATTAAAGTCAGTTTGAAGTCCCGACCAGATATAGAAAATGTAGCCTGGATCGACAGAGCATATAACAGTAAGAGATTTATAACAACAAATATTAATACACGAATCCTATTAATAATATGTTAAGCATTTAAGTTAAGGAACCTTACAATTTCATTTCATCCCACATCATTGCTTTAATTTGATCTAGGAATATGTAGTTTTACTTTTAATTAAATAATATCAAATGAGAAAGCTTATGTACATCATATGGTAATTTATTGTACTCTATAATGTACTAAGAAACAACCAATGAAAATTTTACATTGGATTAACAGCACCGCATAAAGAACTCAGTCCAGTGCCCAAACCTACCCTATGCTTATTTCTATAAAAAGTATGACAAAAGAACCTCCAATAAAAATTCCTTTAGTTTTTTTTGTGCGTGGAATAGAAGGGCTTCGAATAAGCATTTCATTATAAAAATTTTATGTTTTATGTTTTCTAGTATACAAACTAGGATTACAAATTAGATCTGTTGTCTCCAAAAAAAATTAGATCTGAGTTCAAGAAAATTTTATACAAGAATTGAGCAACAAAGCAGAGCACACCCTCACCTGTTTAAAAAACCCATACACTAATGCAACTGTCCAAAAAGTATTCTGGAGAATATTTCTGATTCCACGAGTCAAGAATTCATTCCAAACAAACATGGTTTCGTAGAGGACCTGCCCAGCCTCATTATCACACACGTTCTTTTGAAGACTACGCATAACATGGTATGAATAGCTGAAGAAGAAGTCCTTTGTAAGATCCACCATGCATAGGAGCTTCTTATATCTATATCATCAATGAAACGGAGAGCATAAAATCAATTATTAAACCCTCCAAAGTTTTAGGCCAAAATTTTCAGAGGAAAAAGATGCAGCATAAAGACCTTTCCACACGATTATGGCAACAAGAAATAAGAATTTCCCATTCTGCTCAATTCATGTAATAACTTGTGAATCATAATTAACACCAAACCCATAGACGGCTCAAGTTGGCCTAACCAAATTTGTAGAATGGCAAGACTCCAACTGCGTATAGCTTCTATGAGAAATATAGCTTGCAGATGCTAAAACCACAGAAGCTTCATACTTAAATAATTTTCATGTGCAAACTTTGTGCCCTAGGTACAACAAAGAGCAGGCAATATGTTTTGAGCAACAGTACGTTATGATCTTAAACTGATCGAGCACATACATAAAGTTTACTCAGTTTGAACATGTAGCTTGGAAATGCATGAGAGTTATCTAACATAACAAGGAGATATTCAAAAATAGAATTACTCATGTCCTAACGGTCAAAAGGGTGATACACAACGAAATAGTCACACAACAAAAAAAAGTACAAAAAAATTGAAACCAGTATAAAACATAAAATAGTCATTTCTGAAGAAGACATATACCCAGTAGAATGGACAATTACCTGTTTTCATTCTTGGCACTAGCCATGTTGCCATAGACAGTAGAATTTGGAAGGGGAATCATCTCACTTTTAGAGACAGCATATATGTTATGGCCACAAATTGCACCAATCTGCCTTCTTTTTGTGATAAGCAGCATGTAGTAAGGACCCAGAAATTTAATGAACCCTAAAAAAACAATGAACCACAATTAATATTATAATGAAGACACATGAGCTTCTTTAGGAACAAAGTTTGCAATTAAAGAGTTCACATACCAACAATTCCGTAACAAGTGGTGACAAATTTAAGTCCCCCAGTGGACCTGTTTCCCTCATGTATCCTTCTCAACAGGTCACAGCATTCACTCTCTGTATAGGTGGTAGAATCTTCACGAATATTTAGCTCAGAAGGCTCTGACCTATCAATCTTTAACACTCTCCAATATGTTCTACTCTTATCCCGTCCTATCATATAAAATTGCTGCAGCATAATATATGCAAATGAATAGTGTAAGTGGTGCATTATTGCAAATTCATACAAATAATTGTTGATCATTATGTTTATTCACATCAAAAAATTGTGTTGACCAATTTCAAGGCTATAATCATCATGTTTATTCCAATGAGAATTGTACAAGTAGCTGACATTTGATATTAAAGCATAAGATTAGAGAATTGTACAAGTCCCTGACAAGTCCCCCATGGGGGCACAAGAAAAGGACAAAAATTAATAACACATGACATTTTTCACTAATTTCAAAACACTTGTCATTGAATTTAAAAGCTTCTATAACTTTTTCACTATTTTCAGAGCAGTTTTTACACAAATCTCAAAATTAAATAATACCCCGGGGGCACTAGTTAGCAATTGCCATAGAAGAAATGTTGCAAGTGAAACCACTATGATAACATAGTTCCAAAAATGATAGGAAGGCATGTTCACAGCCAGATTATTCAGACATGGGACTGTTAAAGATATTCCAACAGCGCACAGTATATGTCACAACTTGAAGTCTACTGTTTTCTGGTAAAGACCTAAAACCATTGACGAAAGTAAGCTGGAACTTTTGGTAGTTATTCAAGTTACATGACTTGACAGTTTTGGAAAATCTGTAAAGGTGGTCATTGTGATTGTATTGTGTTGGGGCTCTTTGGACTATGAGGCTAGTTGTCTGGGATACTAATTCAAGTTACACTGTACGTTTATCTGTGTTTGGCCTATATGAATGTTTATTACAGAGCCACGAAAAAGAATACTAAAATTTAACTTGCGCATTGGCAAACATATGATAAACCCAATTCAATCAATCACATGCCTGACATCAATTTTATGTAAAAGTATAATACCTAGAATTGGTTCAGTTCCAGTACACATCCAAATACCAAACCAATCAAAGAAAAACTAAATTTAAAATTATAGTCTTTTTTTGAATCCAAAAAATAATAATAACAATAATAATAATAATAATAGTCTTTTTAACGTTAAATAATATATATATATACAAAAAAAAAAAAGGGGGACATTAATAGCACCAAATCCAAAAAATGTTTCCAAGATCCCATTTTGGATCAAAGCGGTAGCAACTAGGCAAGTCAAGAGAGGTAAACAACAAAATAATAAGAGTGAGAGGAAGATTTGGGTACCGATTGAGTCTCGTAGAGCCTGAATTTCTGCATATAGCCGTGAGGCGCAGGTGGAGGTGAAAGCGGTGACGCAGCAGCAGGAGAGGAGGGGGTGGGTTCGTCTTCGTTCTCCGACGCCATTGTAGGGCGTTGGACGGTGTTGGTGGTGGTGGGTTCAGATCCCGAGCCTCTGGCTCGGGAACCAATCACACGCGCATTCAATCGATAGAAAAAATCACCTCTGTCCCCAACATAGAGAAGAAGCCATCATCACACAGCTTGGTTGCTTCAAATACAGCATTTTTCTGTGCAAACCCTTTTGACTTTGTCCCTTTTCATTCCAATTCCTTCTCTTCCATTCACAACAAATCCCTCAATTATCTACCCTACCCACCACAAATATAATATATATATAGAGAGAGAAAGAGAGAGAGAGAATTGGGAAGAGTCTTCTTCTGATCTTCGATCACAATACAGGAAAACGAGGAGGAAGTGACGAGAATTCAGAAGCTAATGAAAAAATTAAGCCAAGAATGAAACATACATGAATAGAGAAAGTGTGTGTGTGTGTGTGTTTTTTGGAAATGGAAACTTTTTAATTTGGGGAAGATCGAACAGAGAAAGGAGAAAATTTGAGGGATGGCTCTCTAGAAATGGTGGAAAATGGATAGCTATTTGGCTTGATTGATAATTATTATGATGACGGTGGTGATGATGATGATGTTTTGTATTAGATTATTTTTAGAGAGAGAAACATAAACAGAAAACATAGAGAGAGGAACTCAGATCTAGAGGGAAAATGAAAGCCACACACACACTGGGTTACCGCACCATTCCCACAAAAATATAATAAATAATATAAGGTGGGATTTGGAATGATCTAAATAAATTATTTTTTAAATTTTTATAAAATATAGATTAGGTATAGGTTGGATTTGAAGTGCTGTGTTAGAGAAATGATATAATTTAAATAAGATGATATAACTTAAATATGATAGTGACTTTTTTACTTTTTAATTTTTTAAATCATGTCAAACAAAACTTAAATAAATACTAATAAAACACTTCCAATAATTTCTGAAAATAAATTAATCATTGTTTTTAGAATATTAATTAATCAACAGTAATATTACTACATACTACAATTAATTCTGATTTTAAATTTTGCCTATAAATACTCTATCTACTAATACTTCCAATTCAAGCTTAACTAATTATTCACTTATTACCATTTTATAATTTAAATTTATTCTACACATGTATCTCCCACCACATAAATTCAATTACAACTACAAATTCAGATTACTTAGGTGGAGTTGATAGCATTTTTCATAAATATCAAATGCTTGATTTATATTCTCTGAGTCTTTGTATAGATCTTATATGAGTCGCACACCTATGTAAGATATTTGGTAAAAATTTTATAAATCTTTTGAGATCTCTACCATTACTCAATGTATTGTGAGTGTGGATACCACATCCATGTCACACATTTGATTAATTTTTTGAAATCTCTAATATTTTTCATAAATCTTAGTCATATTTCTCAATTCTAAATAAATTTATTATCAAATTTTCTAAGTTTAGTTTTTAATTGATAAAATTAAAAGAAATTATATATTTTTTATGAAACTTATTTTATAAATAAATATATTATTATTTTATTTATTAATTAATAAATATTAAAACAATTATAAATATTATGACACATTTTATAATTATTTTTACTTACAATAAACTAGTTTAATTTTTATAAAATGCTCTTTTAACCATATATATCCTAAAATTAGTCTTGGTAAAAAATTGATTTTTTGAATTTTTTAGTCTATTTTGCCTTTTTGTGAGTGAAAAATGTGAGAGGTGATATAACTCAAAATGGATAAAAAACTAAGTTTGCCTTTTATTTTCTTTCCAAAAGACCCCATATATATCAACAATGCTACAAACCCCGCAAAAAAACACAACCCTCATAACTTTCACTCACGTGTGATTGGTCTACGAAAGAAAGAAAAAATCAAAAAAACATGATTGATCTACTATTTGTGTAAATAGTTGTTAATAAAAACTTTACTTTATTACTGGTATTGGTTTTTTTTATTTATTCAGGTCAAGTTTGGCAACTCAAAAATAATCCATCTTTTTATCTTTTTATCTTTTTTTCATCACATCACCTCTCTACTTCTTTGCACTTTTTTTTATAAAAAAATAAAAAATATATTTATTTAGGTCATCCCAAGCAATCCCTTAATATATATATATATATATATATATATATATGTATGTGTGTGTAATGGACTTGGACAACCAAAAAGCCAATTTTCAATTAAGAAGCACCTTTTTGTGAGTGAAAAATGTGAGAGGTGATGTAACTCAAAATGGATAAAAAAACTAAGTTTGCTTTTTATTTTCTTTCCAAAAGACCCCATATATATCAACAATGCTACAAACCCCGCAAAAAAACACAACCCTCGTAACTTTCACTCACGTGTGATTGGTCTATGAAAGAAAGAAAAAATCAAAAAAACATGATTGATCTACATCATTTTGAGAGTCATAGGGTCCCCAATTTTGGGAGTTCCAAACATTTTTGTATATATAATTATTTTATATTTGTGTAAATAGTTGTTAATAAAAACTTTACTTTATTACTGGTATTGGTTTTTTTTATTTATTTAGGTCAAGTTTGGCAACTCAAAAATAATCCATCTTTTTATCTTTTTATCTTTTTTTCATCACATCACCTCTCTATTTTTTTGCACATTTTTTTATAAAAAAAATAAAAAATATATTTATTTAGGTCATCCCAAGCAATCCCTTAATATATATATGTGTGTGTAATGGACTTGGACAACCAAAAAGCCAATTTTCAATTAAGAAGCAAGATTCCTGTGAACTTGGTTTCTTTCTTCCTTTTTAAAAAAATAAATAAATAAATAAATAAAATAAAATAAAATAAATTTGTAGATGGTAGTTTTCTTTTTTGTTACTGATACCTTGTAGTATCAGCATAAATTTGTAGATGGTAGTTTTCTTTTTTGTTACTGATACCTTGTAGTATCAGCTAATTTTGTTGAGAATTGGTCAAAAGAAATCAAAAATTGAGACGTTTTCTTATTCTAATTGATGACTGGCCATCTTTATATTCTAATTTTTTGTTTTTTTTTTTTTACCAAAATTAGATTGAATAAAATGAAGATGTTTTCTCTTTCCCATCTAAAAAAAAAAAAAAAAAGATGCTTTTTCTTGAAGAAATTTTAAATCTAGAAATTTTAAATCAGTGTATAGGTTGAAAATTAATTACAAATTAGTGACAATTTTTAACAATATTAAAAATTATAATTATAAACTTTTTCGCACATATGTAATAATTTTTTGCAATTACCACCTGCAGAGCTAAATAAAATGAAATAGAGAGAGAGTCTGCGCAATTGTTTTCTTTTTTTTTTTTACTCTTTAATTAATCAATGTCTAAGGAAAGTGAAATAATTTGACCAACGAAGGACTGGGTAGAGCTATAAAACAAATTAAACTATTCAAACACAATTTATTTTGATTCATTAAAAATTATGTTAAACTATTCAAACACGATTTATTTTGATTCATTAAAAATTATGTCAATAAAGTAAATTTGAACATAATTTAAAATTTATTAAATTTTCAAATCCAATTTAACAAACTACTACTTAGCTCAATTCAACATAATTATATGCACTATAAAAAATAAGGCTCTGTTTGGAGGAGCTTTGGAATTGTGATTCCAATTCTTAATTCGCACATGGTGCTTGGTTGTGGCTTTCAAAAATTAATTTCACACTCACTTTTGAAAACTCGATCCAAGGCGGAAAAATTTGGGCTAAACGGTCATCCCCTTGGACGTCCGGCTGGTTGATCGAAATAGTACATTTTTTTTTTAATCAATTGCCACCTGTTATTTTTTATATTTTAAAGAAAAAAAATTGGAATTTTTTAAAAAAATTTATGAGCTTTAAATAGAATTTTGAGTTGTGTATTTGGTTCTAAGTTATAAGTTTTCATATCAAATATCATATGTCGCATTAAAAATTTCCTATTCAATTCAAAACTCATTTACCAAACAAGTTTTTCACACTCAAATTATAATTTCAAAACTCACAAACTCAAAATACAACTCATATTCTCAAATCATATTTAAAAACTCTACCAAACGCTACCTTTATTTTTCGACTCAACTTATTTAATTTATCAATGCATGCATACAATGTCTTCTTCCTTTGTTAATTTTTTACTTGTTATATATAAAATAATTATTAGATAACACATAGATTCTATTTGGTTAAATTTTTAAATTTTAGTTTTTGAATTTTTTTAAAAACAATATTGCAATATATATATATATATATATAAACAAGACAAAAATTACCCATTATTTTCATATAATTTGTTTCGATGAAAATAATAAAAAAAAAATTTGTTTTACTTTTATAAAACTAATTTTATTTTTTTTAAATAAAATAAAAGTTAGGAAAACTTAACCAAACATAATATTTTTTTTAAAAATATTTGATTCAATATAAGATATTATAATGAAATCTAATGAATAAAAATAATAGTAATGATATCTAATACAAATTATATAAATTCTATAAAAAAAATTCTCAAAGTGAAAGAGAAAGTTTTAATTAATAAAAAATAGAAAAATTCAAACTACTAATCTTTTAAATAAAGTACAAAAATTTTGACTAATCAAATTAATTCGTTGGTTAACCAAACATAGTTTGGCAATGATTGATGTTTAGCTATACTATGAGAGGGTGGGGTACTTGAACCCACGTCTGCCGTCTGGTGAAGTGATGGGTGATGAACCACCTCTTCTCTTGTACATGCATCTAGTTTTAAATAAAGTACAAAAAATTTTGACTAATCAAATTAATTCGTTGGTTAACCAAACATAGTTTGGCAATGATTGATGTTTAGCTAAACTATGAGAGGGTGGGGTACTTGAACCCACGTCTGCCGTCTGGTGAAGTGATGGGTGATGAACCACCTCTTCTCTTGTACATGCATCTAGTGGCCAAGCCATGATTTTGATATACCATTAAATTGAAATTTAATAAAATTTATAAGGAAAATATCATAGATTTTAAATAATTTATTAATTTTTTTTATCAAAGTTCTCGTATGATTATAGAATTCATACAAACTTACATATATGTGGGTCTCACACTTATGTAAGAAATTTGATAAAAAATTTAATAGATTATTTGTAGTCCCTACCATAACTCAATTTATAATTCGATTTAATTTAATTTTTATTTAATGGTAGAATTAAAAATTAATGTGATACAAAAGTTAAATTTAATATAAATTCAAGTTAACTGATCAAATTATATCAAATTACACATACGAAGAGACATACTTAGGGATATAAAAAGAAATAAAAGAAATGTGAATAAATTATATATAAAAATTGTTATATATCACTTGTTTTTTAACAATTTTGAATCACTGAATTACACATGAATATATTATTAGTTGTTATTAATTGTATAATAATTATTTGCAAACAAATAAAACAATTGTAAGTATTCATGTAAGAGGTAATATAAAACAATGGCTAAAAAATGAGTGACATATAACATTTTTCTAATATAATATTTATAAAAAAATATTACATAATTAAACATTTAAAATATAAATTAAACATATTTATATCTATTTTTAAAATACAAATTAAACATATTTATATCTATATAAATATAGATATTAAGGGAAATTGGGCTTCTAACCCATAACGCCTTGAAGGTGTCGTTTGGCAATTGGGTTGGGTTGGGT